CATAAGTCCATCATTTGAAATGACGTATGCTAAGAAGTCGACTTGAGTAGTGTGAAATATACACTTTTCTATCTTGGTATAGAGTCCCGCATTTCTTAGTTTTCATAATACATAACAAACATGAAGTTCATGTTCTTTTATGTTCTTAGAATAGATTAAGATGTTGTCTAGGTAACAAATAACAAAATCATCTAAAAACTCCCAAAAGACATCATTCATTAGATGTTGGAATGCTGTTGGTGCATTTGTAAGTCCAAAAGGCATGACGTTGTATTCGAAATGTCCATACCTTGTTCAAAACGCAGTCTTCCATTCATCTCCTTCTTTCATGTGTACTAGATTGTATACTCTTCGTAGATCTATTTTTGTATAGATCTTAATTTGATTCAACTAATCAAGGAGTCTAAATATCTAAGGTAGTGGGTACTTGTTTTTGATAGTGATTTTGTTGAGTCCTCGATAATCGACACACATCCACAATGATCCATTTTTTTTCTTCACAAATAAAATTGGAGCTCCTGTTGGAGATTTGGAATGGAGTATGAAGTTCTTGGCTAGATTCTCTCAATATACTCCTTGAATTCAGCCAACTCATTTTGTGATAAATTATAGATTGGTCCAAATGGTGGTTGTGCTCCTTCTTGAAGGTCAATTGAGTAATCATAGGAATGATGTTCCGGAAGAGTATCCGCATTCTTTTCTCAAATACATCTTAAAAATCTTGATATTGGCTTGGAATGCCACTTGCAGTCTTTCCACTAGTAAAAACAGGTATGATATAAATGATACAAGGTGATCTTTCTTTTGCAGCATGCACGAAAGGTCTTGCACCTATAAATATAGGTTTAATTATATTAGACTTATGACTTTCTACTTGATTAACTATGCTCTTAGTTATACTTTCAAAAAAGTCAAGACTATGAGAAGTCCAATTTATTTTAGGATTATATTTTTCTTGCCATGATTAACCTAAAATGATTGGATTAGAAGGAGATCTAATGATATTAAATATTATAAACCTACTATGACGATTAGTTACTATTTCTATAGGAAGGATTTCATGAGTAACATTTCTTGAAGACAATGGACGACCATCTATGACTTCTATATGAACAGGTTTAGTTTTCTTCATTAAAAATATGCTATGTCTTTTAGCAAATTCTTCATCTAAGAAACATGTTAAGGCTCCTCAATCTAGCAAGGCAAAGGCTTTGTGATGTTTAGGTCCTAGAATAACATTTATCATAAAACATGGAGAGGGTTTTGAAGAGAGGATAAGACCTTGACTAGGTATTGTACAAGGTTTTAGCCACACGGTTCCTATTGTAACTGGATAAATTTGTTTTTCGACATGATATCTTCTTTGATTGCTGTACTCCTCATTTTATGGTTGCATCACATCTTTGGGCAATATTGAGCAGTGTGCTTAGGTTCTCCACAATATAAGCATAATCCTTCCTGACGACGATGAGTTTTTTCTTACTTAGTAAGAGGTTTCAAACGTACCGCATCAATTTGCATATCATCTACTTTCGAATATATGTATTGAAGAGATGTTGGTATTGCCATTGAATTATAGTAACGTTGAGGTCCACTTGCACAATTCTCAGATCGAAATTCAAAAAGATGATTGTCACACTTTATAGCAAAGTCAATTGCTTGGCTCAATGTTTGAGGATCATGTAAGTTGAGCATTAATTTTTTACCTCATATTATAATCCATAGAAAAATTGGCTAACAAGTGCAGAATCATCCCACTTGATATCAATTGTAAGTTGTCAAAATTGTGAAGTATACAATGTTACTGATCAATTGCATTGTTGTAAATATGGATCTTATTGGTTGCAACACGAATTGCATCATGTTCTCCATACATGGATCAAAACTCTGCCAAAAAAGCCTCTAGATTATCCAATATTGGATCTCATCATTCAAAAAAAGATAAAAACCATGATAATGTTGAACTTGAAAGAAGCGTATCAATGAATCTAACTTGTGATCTTTGAATTGGATATCTTTGGAATTGAAGTTCAATCAGAAGTTGTACTTAATTGATAAATCTTCTAAACTTTGATCTAGTGCCATTAAATTGCTCGGGTAGGATAATTCTTGGTTCTCTAACACTGGAAGGGCATTCTACTATAGGAAAAGGGACATGATTTGGTGCAGATATTGAAGCAACTCCAATCATTTCTATATCTTTAATTTCTGCCAACCTTGGTACTCCTTGTGGTGGTAAATTGAGTTGATGCATCGCAAGCATTAACTCCCTCAATTGTTCTTGTATTTGTGCCATTGCACTTTCATTTCAGCAAGTTCTGCCATGATAACACTTAGAAAAGAAAAGATGTCTAATATTGCTCAAGACAAATAGAAGAGAGGACTTCAGAACAAAGAAAATACTAAGGACAATATCAGTTTTAAAGAGGATAATCTACAACTTCTAATATGCTTATGTCTTATCAAGAGAAAGAGATAATCCACTCTTAATCAAGATTACGTAAAGCTCTGATATTGTGAGTGTATTCTTGTCAATCTGTCAAGGACAAGAACATGATAAAAATAAATAAACAAGTTATACTTCTCTCAAAGAAAGCCGAAAAAATAGAAATAACTTGATATGTATATTAAAAAAGAAATTAAAATACCTTTTGTCGAAAACTAAGAAAGGAGTTGACAAGAGTGAAGAAAGCTTCACTCTTGTCTCTATATATACTATCTAATTATGAGCTACATGGCAAAGTTCTATAGTACCTCCAATATGTGTTGACCTTGTAGGACACATGCCTTGACTTACAAGGCAAGTTTTTCTACGTGTGGGCTACATAGTTAGCTTGGTCTTCAAGCTAATAACATGTGTGGCACATGGCCAACTTATTGACCACATTTCTAATCCAAAAATTCAATTAAAGACACCTATAAAGTCAAAACAACATCTATGAAGCTTTTAGGAAGCTTTTATAGCAAATATTATAGAATTAACTTATTTTTACCTACTTTTATTTACTTCTATCTATTTATACATGTAATTACTAGCTTACATCCATATGTCCGTGACAATAAGATGTCATCTTTGATGATGGTCGTTTTCATCTGTTGATCCACTATAGCATTGACATTTGCTTAAGGACCTTGATTCTTGCCAACATCACACTGCATTCTTTTCGCAATAATAGTCATCAAGTTAAAGGTGTTTATAATTCCAACTCAGTCCAACTTGTTCAACCTTTCTTGGACAAGCAATGTTTGAAGATCTTCAAGCTTAGTATTAATTGCAACTTGCAACAACTCCATAGCTACCAAATTTACTCGACTTTGAATTCAACTTCTTCGAAGTTTGATTGTATATATAGTGCTTTTGAATATTGAGACTTTGACTTCCAAATTATATAAAAATTATGTGTTACAAAAATATTTGATGATATATTATGTCCTATACAAGACTAGTTTGACAATGGAATGATTTGATACTTATTCAAAGATAAGATATGTTGTTTATACCAACGAGGGCCTAGACAAAGAGGCAATAATTAGAGCAAAATCAAATAGGAAAAGTACCACCTCTATGAAAAGAAGAAATTGCATTTGTGAAGAATGACAAAAGTAATGTTCTTAAGGTTGCATGTGCAAATGTGCAAGCTTGCGCTTTTAAGTTGATTGAAAAAAACAAGTAAATGATTGAAAAGTGTTCTTTAAGCCTTAACATGGCATATTCCAACTAATAGAGACATTAGATTCTAAATCACCCACTAATACCAAAGAGACAAGCAATCAATATGGTGAAGCACAAATAAGAATAAGATCTCAAGTTGGGAATGGAAATAGAATGGAAAGGAGGATTAGAACAAAGAACATGGAAAAACAGATAGAGAACATGGAATGAGGGGAGGAAACATAAATAAGGAATTGAAAATAGAGGACAAAGATAGAGGTGGATAGAATCAATTATGAAATGGTAAGGAGGAATGTGGCCTTAATAATATTGAGATGTGTTTTTATCAATTTTTTATATATATATATATATATATAGGAATATTTTTATTAATAAAATATAATAAAGTTATTTTATTTTTAAATTAATATTTTGAATATAAATTTATTTTAATATAAATATTATATATATATATGTATGTATGTGTGTGTGTTATAAAAAGACATGCATTTGTAACAAAGTAACTTCAATATTTTAATTTTTTAGGTTAAAATTCAACAAATGTTAAGAAAATTTTAATAAAAAATATATAAAAATTTAAAAATTAAATATCAATGGAAATAATACATTTATTTAGTGTTGTTGGCAAGATGTTTCTTATTTACTTCAACAACTAAATTAGCTAATATTTGGAGAAGTATATTCTAAAAATATAACATACAATGAAATATATATATATATATATATATATATATATATATTTGTATATCATGAAAAGATAACATTTTTTTATATTTTAAAAAATAATAAATTTTTAGTGATTTTAACATAATTTTTAAGAAAATTTATAAGAAAAAAATTCTATTATATTATGGATGTCTAAAAACATAAAAAAGAAATATATATATATATATATATATATATATATATATATATTTGTATATATATATATATATATATATAGGGAGTTGTTAAAGCCACATCTTGCATTACCATCTCATGATCGATTCCGTCCATCTCCATCTCTTATTCTATATCCCTCTTCTCCCTATTCTCAATTCCACTGCCTTATTTCCTATCCCCATCCTTGTTTCCTATCTCCAAAATTAATCATCACATGATTTGGGGATGTGGCTTTAACAACTCCCTATATCTATTGAACAATTGAAATTAGTGAAATTGCTCATTGTTATGGTGCTTTGTATGGTGTGCACTTTTTGTTATAATATTGGTGAAGGTTCGATGCCTATCATCCACTCAGTGCAGAACGTATAGCACGGTACATCCACCTGAGTTGGACGACATTCGTTGAAAGGGCCGCACCCCGTAGTGTATGAACGTCCGGAGGCTGTGCCTTTAGGCAGAGTCTGTGCGGGGCATGCAATGCAAGTGCTTCGGATGCGCACCCCCTCGCATGGACATACACATTGGCACTGCAGCAACCAATTTTGTTTCCCTTTTCCTTCTGTGAATGTGTATGGGGAGGTAGATTTTTTTCCCAGGCGGAGGAGCTGGTTCTATTTGACGAACTGGTGATTTGAAGAGCCGTGACTATGCGTCGATGTCCCGGCTTCTGAGGTGGTGGAACTCTGGCATGGGCACGCACTGTTGGCGCACTTTTGGTCTCTCGTTTTTCTCAGATGCTGCCGTATGCTGAGTTTTGTTTACGTGATTTTTTTCGCAGAATAATTTAATCATTCAGATTCATGGATTTTTGTAGCAGGTAAAGTGTCCAGGGTTTGATGTCCTGAGTTTTCTTGCTTGGGGGTGAGCGTTTTGGGTTTGAAGGATGGCTCTGATCCGGCATTGCGGCTGTGATGAACAGAGCCGCAATTTTTTTTGTGTGGAAATTCTGAATTGAGAGATCGTCTTTATGATTGTTGCTCTAGAGTGCCAGTACTTCCCTCATGCGGGCACATTTTGTCATGTTGGTGGCTTATGCAGCCAATTGTTATGAGATGCTTTTATAGAACATGTCGTGAGAGATATTTAACTGTTTTGATTTCTAGAAATTCAAGTAAGCATAAGTTGAATGGAATTGTTGGATTTCTGCTGTTAAAGGAAGATACATTTGTATGTGGACCTTAACTTTTAACAGCGATACATCAGATCACAAACTGTGGTAGTTGTGGTTTGCAGCAAATTCGACGAATGCTAGAACAGGGTCTAGAATCTTCCCAGCAGTTCAGGCTGTCCTAGCGGGTTATTTTAAAGATTAAATACGTCTTAGATGTGCTTACAGGTCTTCATACGGTCAAGGGTGCATTTTCTTGCAAGATAAGCAGCAGCAAATAAAGCTGTTTGGAGTGTGTATGATAACGGTGTGACGAGGCAGCTGTGGCAGACTGCTCTCGCCTAAATGAGAAGGGCGTAACGGGTTGCCCGTCAGCCTATTCATGGTAGAGTATTCACATGCATCGATGCAGAAGTGCTGAAAAATGCAGATACCGGACCTTCAGATACAGTAATTTCACTTATTAGAATTGGGAGGAAATATGACAATAATAGTGTGAATGACACATTCGTTGTAAAGAAGAAAAGAAAAATCACCATTATTTGCTTCTTTCTAACCATGTACTTCAAATTCAAGGCAATTGAACACTTGCAGCTGCCGACTGAAAAAGACAGGGCTTGATTTCACAGGGCCCTGTTGATGCAGCTGTGAGTTTGTCCTGCACTTCTACTGGAATTGGTCACCTCCGCAACTCAAGAAGACTTATTCAAAGGTTGAGAGGATATCCGCATTTGCTATATTTTTTCTGAGCCACGCCTTCAAAGGCATTTGACAATGCACATTGCATGCCTGACTTGTGTTACTGTCTCAAGATTTCGTTTTTGAGGGTATAGGGTAGGTAACTGCAGTTTATTCAGTACTTTTCAGTCCTACTGGGACAGCTTTTGTGATATGTGGATTAGAGGTTTTGTGTCATGCTTTCTCGGTTATGGGAGGAATGGATAGTTCATTAAACGACGATGCACCTGCGCTGCAGCTCGTCTACAACCATCTTAATCAAGGATCTTTTCCAGAGGTACTAGTATCAGTGAACAGGTGTACGATTCGCCAGGCATTTTTGTCTCTTGAACTATGTTGGCATTGCTGAAAATATGATGACACTCGATTGTTTCTTCACATCGTAGAATGCATGCAGCATAATCAAGTTTACATCTAGAGAGGTAATTAAGAGGGATGCAGCTATCATTGCCAAGAAACCCAACCCGTATTACAAGAGCATTCACATCCTGAAGCAACTAGGTCGTGATGGCTGTGTATATTATTCCCATATTTGGTTAGCATAGACTGTCTCAAGAAGCGGTTGAAAGGTTGTTGGCATTTACTAGAAATTACTTTAAAAGTGTGACGAGATTGATGTGTAGTTTCAAGTCGAGAATTAATTAAATATATGTTGACAACTTTGAAGAAGTTTTTTGATGAATTTCATGTAGATTTCATTCATTAATAAAATTACGTTTGAACTGTTACTTATTTTCTTCCAGGAGCATGAAAGCTTCCTATGCTGTGGATATGGAGGAGCGAATTGCCCTTACTTAGCTTATCTACAGCTATACAATGTTGTCTGGTCGTGGTTTTATTTTTTGAACAAACTCTTCCATCTTTTTAAATTTTATCTCCTCAGAATAATCTTTAGAAATTGATAGGTGCCTCGGATCCGAATCGAATCATACTGCCGTTGATTCTTTGATTGTCGTGTATTTTTTGCGGGGAGGAAACTTTCAATTTTGTCCAGGTTTGTTAAGTTTTTGGGGCTCAACTTGATAGTCAGTAATTATTGATACAGTTTTGAGTTGCGTGGATCATGTTTTGTTTACTACTGAGCTGCTCCTTCATACTTAGCAGGTTGGAGTGGTTGACTCAGCAACGGATAAAGCACTGAGCTTATTGGAACGATTTGCTGATTAAGCTGTGAAGGGCGGATCAATATAAATCTTCAACATAGGGCGCTCTTGAGAAACTTCGCTACAAATGATGACAATGAACGACAGCAACTCTGAACCAGAACACAGATGGTGGATTTTGTTCAGGCCTTCACAAACATGGAGTTTGGGGTATGGTGCTGAATTGGGAGCTTTTGTATTATTTTGTGGAGCATTTATATCTAGTATTGGAAGCAGTTTTAAATAAATGCTTTCATAATGGAACTTTCTTGGTGGTGATCTCGAGGTTCCGATCACCTAGCAACTCGTGTTTTGAACAAGCAGTTGACATTAGAAGTGAGTATCTCATGCTTTTTCTCTGTTCTCCTTCCTTTTGTTTATTTTTTCTTCTTTTTCTGTACTTCTTTTTTCTGTCTTTGAAATGGCACCATTTTCTCACTGGGTAGGTGTTAATGTCATTTAATGTAGTGACGATGCATGCAATTTTTGAAACCCAAGCAAAATGTAAGGTTCTAACGTAGACTACTTGTCACCGGATATTGTTGTAGAAAGCGACCTGGACACGTGTCACATTTCTCCAAAGTGGTCCCTTTGGAGAGCAATATTTAACTGCAGATCGTCGGATGTTGTCGACTTCAAATATGTTCAATTGTTTGATGGGGGTCTCTTGAACATTAAATTTTCAACACTGGAGATTTGCATCCGTCCTGCGGTTTCACTAAAGAGATAACTTTAGAAGCATTGTTATCAACTATAAAATATTATAGTCTCTTCGGCACCACAAGTAACACTTCAAAAATAATCTGAACATAAATGGCTCCTTTCGAAGGTGTTGTATAGTCGATTTGTGAAATTTCTCACATTCGATATTTGAGAAGTTGGTAGGCCTGCAAATTCTGCATGGTTGAAGTCGAACATAAACCAAAATGTAAATGTTATCACTGCTGTTTTCTCTATATGCGTTCATCCAACTGGAATAATTAATTTTGCATGAACTATCATGAAATGCACTGCAGCACTGCTGTCGGTTGATTAAATGTAGCTGTCAGTTTACATTTGTATTAGAGTTTTTTTTTTTTTTTTTTTTTTTTTGGAAGGATTTTTTAAAGCTGGACTAGATTTTAGGAAAGCCAAAAACTCGTGAAAGGAGAAAAACTTACAGGAAAAAACACCTAACTGTGTGACTGGCAGATTCTCTTTGGTAGACTGTTTGTCTTTTTAGAAAACGCCTTTGGCGCTTCAACCTCAGGGGTCAGCTAATCAACTTAGCTTTTGTATAGTCTCTAGTAATGAAAATGCTAATACGCCCTTCCCATTTTCCAGTCCCGAGCTGCACTCCTTCCTCCCCTGTATTTTCAAGTTGAGCGAGTGATTGCATTTGATTTTGTTCTAAGCAGCGTTACGAATCTTCTGATGTGCGGCATGCTTTCTCCTCACTTCCAAATGGGGAAATTTGATGTCTACCCTTGAGTGCGGTTCAGAAGTTGAGAGGACATGGACTCAGGGTGAGCAAGAAGCAAACAGCTTCGTCCTGTGCACAAATGAAGTGGTGCCCGAAACAGTTAATGCAGGTATAACTAAAGATAGTGTGATGATTCATGACCTAAGTAACTGCTTGCTATGACTTCAATCAACAAATTCTGAAGACGTGTACCTGAAATTCGGTTCAAAGTATGAATTCAAGGATCTTCAACAACCTTTTGAGTGAGTACACAGTCTCGAATAACTACTCAGCGAATGCAGGCTCATTCTCAAATTGTTTTTTTTTTTTTTTTTTTTTCTCATCGAACGTTTCAATTTTTCAAATGTTGGAATCCGCCTCTTTTCTCGACTCCAAGGTAGAGCCAAGCGCAGCAACTACCCGTTCCAAGTCCCCACGCAGCCACGCTCACATTCATCACCTTCCTCGCATCTCGAGGGGCATATTCGAACGCCCCAATTCAAAACCAAGCATGATTATGAAGACGATTAGGTCTACAGTATTCCGAGATACTACGTAGTAGTAGTAGGGAGACGCACACATACAAACCTTGGCATACTGTAGTGCACGCCATCGATCTGGAAGAATGCAGCGTGGCAGGAGTGGCAGCAGCAGGCCCAAGTTAATGCCATGCATGCAAGCGCGAAGGGGTGACAATGATTGACGGGCATCTGGAACAAGGCCAACAGTGATGACCCATGAGTGATGATGAGTACAGTCGACAAGACTTAGCAGGTAATTCGGCGTGAGGGCTCAGTTAAAATATAAAACAGAAAATGGACAGGTGAGAAGGCAAGGCAAGGGAAAGGGAAGAGGAAGGAGAAGCGCACGGCCAAAGACAGAGAGAAGGGGAGAGAGAGGAGGAGGGAGAAGGAGGGAGGAGGTGGGGGCAGAGAGCTGGGCTGGACCACACGAGGGAGGGAGGGAGTCGAGGACTACTGCTGTGACTGACTGTGGGTGTGCTCATGTTGCTGCTGGTGCTTTACTTCCCTCCCGCGTGTGGAGACGCCCACCTCTCACGTGCAACAGCCCCCTTCCCCACGTTCATCTCCTCCGCCATCAATGCCGTGACCCGTCCTCTCCCCCGGCTTCTTTTTTCCTCCTTTTTCTGTGTTCTTTATTTTTTGTGTTTTTTATTTTTGTATTTTCTCCCTTTTCCCTCCTCTGGAATTCGGTTAACAAGGAGCATAACTTGAACTTCGTCTAATGATTTGCACAACACTGTCAAGCCAGGCTCACATGCACCTTATTACCTCGGGAGGGGGTGGGGGTGGTGCTCTGTTTAGTACTGCGAAATCTTCCTTCATTTCCTCCCTCCCTCCTTTCTTTTTCTTATCCTTTTTTTTTTTTTTTTTTTTTTTCCGTTTAAATTTCTACTGCAATTTATCTGAGGAGGGGAGAAAGAAATCATAATCTGTTTAGTGGGTTTTAGCGGTTCTTCCAGCTTCAACCCCAGTGGCTCCCAAGTGTGAGATTACGAGGGCTTTCGTAGCAGAGGATAGGTTGGTGGGGTGTTGCTTCCAGTTCGGTTATGGCTAAGGGGTGTACACAAAACCTTCCCATCCCCCCACAGCAAATAAGAAGGGGGAAAGGACTCGGAGTGAAGAGTGGTGGTGGGTGTACTCTTCATCTCTGTGCGTGTGTGTCTCTCTCTCCCTCTTCCTCCAGGTGTGAAGCTGAGATCTGATCAGTGCAAGAGGCGTTTGTCTTGATTCCCAAGCTGCCTGCGCTGCAGATCCATTGGCTGCTGAAGCTTCTGTTTGACGCGTGATCTGTCCGGACGGAAACGCAGGCACGAGTGAATCTGCTGGCTCTGCCCTCACGGCGTCAGTCGTAGAAACGCCGTGAAAGTCATGGCTGGCCTTCACCCCTCTCTCACCTCCCCAGCCCTTCCCCTCCACACACACATACACACACACCAAATTAACACACACCAAGATGCATCTATCTCTTCCTTTGTAATACCACCAGCACCGGAGCTGTGGGCGACGGGGAATGCGACGGAGACGAGGGAACGGAAACGAAGGAGAACCTTTGGTTGCCATCCCCCTTGGGTTCCCAGTATCTATTGTAGATTCTGTTCTTATGCACAGATCCCGTGCTCCCATGGCGCCTTCTCCAAGGCTCCAATTTATTTATTTATTTATTTATTTATTGACACAAATAGAGTTTATTCCTCTTTTGCTGAAAGGTTATACATGACCCCAACCCGGTCCAGTCAGGGTAGTAAATTACTGCTGACTATTTAGTAGTCTAAAGTTACTTCTGGGCCAACTTAGTTTCTACGTTGGTTTAGACTGTTGCTACGTCACCAGGACCTGGCTCATGCACCATTGTTGTCTAAACCTTTGTAGATGCACTGCTGCTTGTAGGAATTTGTGTTTGATGAGAAGTTGTGTTTTGAGCCATGCATTCCGGCCATATTCGAGGAGTTGCAATCATAATTTCTGGAACAACTGTTCTTCTCTCCAATGTACGCTGTTGAACACAGCGTCGTTTTGCTTGACCCATAAAACCCACATTGTGAACTCTCTAATCAACAACCAAATGTGTCTAGAGTGCTTGTGGCGTTGGTCATTATCTTGCCTTTTATCATTGGTAATCCTTCTCCGCTAATCTGTTTGTGCCACAGAGGTGGCGAGTAGTTTGACGATGTGGAACGTCCATTGCTACGCTTTGACTACAAACTTACACTCTCAGAATCTGTAAAGCACCGTCTCTCTAATTTCTAGTAAGCAAACCAGACATTGATCGACATTTTTGTTTGACTTGCCTCTCCACGCATTTATTGCTACCGTGCTTTATGCTAAGTTAGCCACATGAGGCCTGCTTCCTTCTTGACCCGTTTCGCATCCCACACATTGGCCCACTTCAGCTTAAAATGCGACGGTGGAACTCCTTCCCACTTGTGGGTTACTACATTGGAGATGGTATTTTTCTGGAGGTGGTATCGACCCATCTTGACCGTGTACTGCATGAGTGATATTTGATTTGGCCACTAAAATTGGCTGAGGTCCCACACTAGGCAGTCAATCCTTCCGTAGCACAAGTGTAGCGTGTTTTTTTTTTCCCGCTATCCTTTAGCTACTGTGATTATGCACACCCGTTTCGGTAGGTCGACAACATACGTTGTTCCGAGGCCTCATCCTTCTGCCACCCTATACTCTGCCCATTGCCGATCCAATACAGGTTCTAAAACATTGTTGTCATTTTCGAGAGTCTTACTCATGGGAACTTGCGGAGGTATTCAAAACTCGCTCTGTCGCATGTCGACACAAAATTTTGCTGTAGACTACCACACTACTGTGGGTGTTTTTGAGGCTTCCTTTGTAAAGAGAGGAATGGGCAGCCTTAGAATCCACAATTAGGAACCATTGACAGCAATACCTACACCTCTCTAACCATGAATTCCAAGCGGGAGAGCAAGTGCTCTTTGCATAGACCTTCTTGCTAGGTAGTTACTTAGAGATGTTTTGATCTTTGTAATGCCTTTCTTGATTCCTCTTCATAGTAAAATAAAATAAAAAACTGTTGGAAAGAGCATATTATTGACTATATATGTCCTTGACATTATCCCCCCTTCTAGGAACGAGTTCCACAAGGAGTGGTCATCATATATTGAGGAAATCTATGATGTGACGAATTGTATTCGCCACATACTTTGATCTTTGTTCTCTTCGAAGATGATTGATAAGGCCTCTCAACCATCGGTAGTGTCCCATACCAGGGCAAGAAGACCACCCAGTTATTTGATCATTGTTGAGGCCTTCATAACTTCCTTCGAATAGAATATTTGGAACACCATCAGGACTTGTTCCTACTTCTAGCAAAATCACCAAACATCAGGAGTCCCTTCCCAAATCGTGATACCAAACGTGTTGTATCTCGCCATCCATTCGAGGAAGAACATGTCATTCTTGAAGGTCTTCATCTCGATTGCGTCATCTTGAAGGTTGTGACAATCGTAATGTCTCGTCTAATAGGTCAACAAATGAAGGCTCTTGAGTCGAATCCACTGGTTATTGGTTCTCCATCTCCTGATTGTCACAACTACAAAGAAGATACAAACAAGGATTGAAAGTAGAATGTTATCTTGTCTAGATGTTTCTTTTATAAAGAAGGTTTTCATCTTGATTTTGATAGATGTCGTCGATGAAAAGCCTCCACCGCCTTTACTGCATTTGCAAGATTCTTTATTGGCTCCCATGTGTGTTCACTAATATCATATCCGTGCCAATGGACAAGATATTCTAATTTATTTCAACGCCGCCTTGAATCTAAGACTTCTTCTACTTCAAACTCTTCATTATTGTCTACTTCTATAAAAGGAGGTGGAGCTTGTCGTCTTCTTGGTATGTCCACTGTCTTGTATGGTTCAAGAAGAGATACGTGGAATACTGGATGGATTTTCATTGACTCCGGTAGATGTAAATGATATGCAACTGGATTGATTTGTACAAAAATAGAAAATGGTTTCAGCCTTCGATAGTCCACCTTGTCACAAGGATGAGTCGTCTTGATATT